CAAAGGTCTTCCAACACCAAGCATGATTCTAGAGATATCAAAGACTCGAAGCCATAATAAGACAATGAGCACATATTTTCCGAGGAGAAAACTGAATTGCAAAAAGGAGCAGTAATTAGATATTTTATTAAATAACTTGGTCTAGTCAAGGAAAAGAAGTTGATCGACTTCCCATTGTCCTTGAGAGACACTCACCAAGGCACCAAATCTGTAGTAGAAACGACATTAGCAATCAGTTTAAACTTTAAAGACAACAATAATATGTCAAGCAAAATCATTCTATCAACACATGACCAGCATATAATCTCCTATATAACATCAAAGAAAGTAGAATAAAAGTGCCCCACATGATAACTTGCACATTCTCATGGTAACAAGAAAATTCCAACAAGAACCTTAATCACCCGGGTCACATAATATGTTCGTCTCTTTCTTCCACCACGCTCCCTTAATGAAAGAGTAAGTGTTTCTCCTGCTCCAACATTGTAAAATGCAAGTGACATGTTATCCTTAAGAAAACTAGGTTTTCCACTCAACTTCTGTTTGTTTGCTGGAAGCTAGATCTCCCCAGAAATTTTCTCTTTCAAACACCGAACAGTTTCTGACAAAGACTGCACCGTGATCTCCAAAAGTTATCCCTTTAGATTACCTTCATCCACATTGGGCACAGATACTGTGATGCGAACAGGTCCCTATAACCAGAAAGATACAAAGAATAGAAAAGAATAGTTTATGTCAGGCTACTAACAATCCATTATACAATAGCATTGTACTTACTAAAGAATTAATGGTAGAAAGACAAGGATATCGAAAAAATCCATACCGGATGTTGTGCCGGAAACTGATCTTCTGAAATAAGCATAGAATCGTTAAGCTTCTGCCGCTTTGGCTCAAGTTCTTCTGGAAGCGATGGAGAAGCTCCTTCAGGAGGTGGTGGAGGCATTCCCTGAGGCAAATGTGGGGGTGGCATCATTTGCATTGTAGGTGGAGGAACGAGAAGAGGCATATAAGGTCGGGAAACTTGCATTGGTGTAAACTGAGAACCAGGTGGAGGTGGTACAGAAATACCTGGTGCATTGATAGACATGGATGGAGGCATAGGAGGTGGTCGATTGAGCATAGGGGACTACTGTCCAGAACTCATGGGCATTGGAGGTCCAGGAGGTCGAATTCATTGATATTGGACAACTGAGGGCCTTGGTGGAGGAGCAAGGAGACCACCGCTAGTTGAAGTAAAATACTGGACTGTGTTTGGAGGACGAGGTAGATTCAAGGCGAGACCAGGTGGTGGAGGAAGATGACGAATTGAAGGCACACCAGGTCTTGGAGGAGGAGCTTCAGGACCAGGAAGGTTCCTAGCATCATTGTTGAGACCATCATTTTGGTCATCTCCATTGATATTTTGCGACATTGCTTGATTTGTTGTGTGGCCAATACTTCCAGTGTGACCATCCCAAATGACCTGCTTTGATTGCTCATCTTTCTTTTTCTCAATCTCAGCCTTGACTACATTAGAAACTTCTTCCTCTGTGGTACCAAAAATATCAGGACGGGTTCGTGCAAGGCCCACAATGTTTCTTGAGATTTCATCATCTTGAGTAAGAGTAGTCTCCCGAATCTTAGCAAACATCCTTTCCTTTTGCTCTTTGTATTTTGGATCAATGAGAGAAATCCTCATGTGTTCAGACATCTCGTTAATAGGGATAAGCTCTCCAGTGATTGTGGAAATGACATACTTTGTTGGGTCTCTTTCGGCAGGGATCCTGTCCTCGGGTCTCTTCCAATTCTTCACAATTCTCATTGGTGGTTCGGGGTCCTCTGTCACCATGTTCTCATTCTTCTTTTCATCATCATTCTCTTCAATTCTGGATGTCCTCAAGCCCTCTTCAACAAGTTGCATCTCTTCTTCATTCATTTCCATTTCCACCTCCTTACCAGGCTTAACGTCTTCTTCCATATATGCAACCTTGCTTCTCCTTATAACCTCTTCAAGGGTCATCAGATGAGGTAAATCCTCATCCTCATCATCTGCAAAGTCTATTGTTTTAACCACAACAAAATCATGCCAATCAATCATAGCCATTTGTATCCTTTCCTGCTCAATCTCATCTTCAGCCTTTTGTCTTGCTTGCTCTTGTGAACGCTCCCACTCTAGTCGATGGACACACCTTTCGAGCACATTTGTCATGTTTGCAACACTTTTCTTAAGCTTATCTGGAAAATTCTCCGGAGGCATCAACACCTTAGAATACGCATAAGCCAGAGAAGTGAAAAACGTGAACATACTATGCATAGGCTTCAAAAAATGGAACTGGTGGTTGTTCATTCCCTAGTAATACCTTCAGGAAGACGAACAGTATACTCCTCAGCTTGTGGTGGTTTGAGGACTTTGCGAACTGGTCTAAACTGGGCAGAGGGATCAGGCTTTGGGGCTCTTGTTTCACCATCGACAGCTGGAGTTGATGGAACAAACTCAGGTGAAGTAAAATCCACAGGCTGTGTATACGGTCGCTGTCCAGAAGACTGATTCTGGGCACGGAATTCAGACAACCGATGTTGATAGTATGCATGGTAGAGATCGGTCGAAATCAAGAAATTGAACTTTGCATTTCCGGTATTATTAGCCATAATCCTTTTCTCAAATTCCGGTCCACTCTTTGCCACGAATTGGGCAGTTTTGTCAACAATGTTTCTAATGTCTGGAGGAGGATGTATGATACCAATAGCCCTGGTATGCATCGCAACAGATGTAGAGTTGGCTTTGCTCAACTCCTCGTCCAATTGCTTCTCATCCTGATTGACTTTAGTCACTTGGGATTTCGGAAGAGGCCCAAGGTCTCCATCAAAAGGAGGAGCTGGTAAGGGCAAAATGGACCCTATCATTTTCCGTTGAGAAAGAAAAACAGAACACTTAAGTATGAATCGACTAATTAACAGGCATCAAAACAGCCTTGTGCTAACTACAACCTGCACATTACAAATTTCAGGAAAACTTATGCGAATTGTCCAAGCATTTATAAATACGCATGACCACTTTAGTAAGTACTGAGCTGTTTTACTACTAAATACAGAAAACCCGAATTAATGTCGACTAGAAAAACTTTTGAAGATGGACCCCAAAACGATGGGAACACAAACCATGATAGAATTCAAGCACCAAAAAATAAAATAAACAAGAATTGCATTATTAAGCAAAACATACATAAAATTTTGTAGCAAAGCCTAGTTAAGAGATTAGTCCTGCCTACCCTGCCGATGTGGGCGACAAACGAGATCTTAGAACTTTTGGGAGTACGCAAAATATTAGGGTTTAAGGCAGAGAGATAGAGTGTGTGTACCTTAGGGTTCTAACCCGATGATTGCACCTGCTCTAGGTAGAGATGGGCAACGGTTATGGCGGGCAGGTAACCGTGGTTAATTATCCATAACCGTTTATATTCATACCCACATAACCGTTTACCCATTGGGTAATTGCATAAACGGTTATACTCATACCTATAACCATTTATAAACGGTTAACCATACCCATAACCGTGTACCCATTTAACCATAACCATTTACCCGTTTTTGAACCCGTTTGTCATTTTTTTACCCATTTTCCCTTTTTTCACCCGTCTACATGTATTTTTTTAACAACTTGAAAATTACAAAAGAAAATTTTGTCATAATTTTCATTTTCTGACAATTAAACACCGTTATAGGTAGATTTTAGCATACATTTCCCTATTTTAATCATTTAAATCCTCATACAATTCCAATAATTGAAATAATAGTTTACGAACGATATTTTTCTCCTACACCCAAACAAGTCTTTAATTTCAAGACCGATCCCAAACCAAAATTTCAGAAATCCCAAAATAGTTTCGGAATTTTGGAACGAATCAGGAATCCCGAAATTGCTTACTGTAACTCAACCATCGTTCCATTCTACAGAAGTTTATCTGGTGGATACCACCATACTAGTAAAATGACAAATACATTCATCACTCGATATTGCAAAAAGCATATTTTTCAGTGCATTGCCAGGTAATATACTAGACAACACAAAGCATCAAACTTCTTCCAGCCTTAGAAACATATAAACAAGGGAAAAAAAAAAAAAAAAAAAAAAAACCTATCAGATACGATTATTAAATTATATATATATTAAATTAAATGGGTAAATAGATATCTGTTATAATCGTGGGTAATAACCAAAGCAACCCACTTAAATTTTACGAATAAACGTTGTTCGTCTAAAAGGTTATCCATAACCGTAATTGTGAACTTTAAATGAGCGGGTAACTGCGGTTACCCAAACCTATAGATATTTTGTCCATCCCTAGTTCTTGGGTTTTGAAGCTCCAATGTTATCGAGGCAAATGAAGATGGGCATTCGGTCTTCTAACTCAAAAGAGTGCAGCCGTACTTTTTCATCAATTCCATTACAATTTTATCAAAATCAGTTATGGCAGAAGGATATTATTATAATTGGGTTAAAGTTGGAGGATCATTTCTTCACTTGGATTAAAATTAGAGAAAACTATTGAAAATAACTTGAAAATTTTGAGTTTTAACGATAAGGACAAAATAAAAGGTAAAGTGAATAGTACCAAGATTGATTTTTTAGTGTAAAAATGTGATTTTTCGTTAAAGTGAACAATACTGAAAGTTTTTCGTTAAAGTGCCCTTAAAATTAAGAAATTATTGCTACAATTTTTTTCATTTTGTTTTTCATACTTGCCATTTGATTCAGCCAACGTGACTCAACGGAAGTTCTAGCGGACTTGACGAAAATGATTATAACTATATATTTTGATGATTTAAAGAATTAATAGCCACATAATTTTAGTTAATGGGTCATTACTCTAATGGGTTTAAATTGAAGGACTATTGATATAATTTCCTTCGTAAACAAAACAATGCTTAGTACGAGGGCAGCATTGTAATTTTAGCCCATGTTTTGAGTGTCTCCCGAACTTCCAAGTACCACCTCTTTATATGATGATAAGGTTCCGAACAAGAACTCATGTACGACATTTCTCATCCTTCCGGACAAGAACTATAGTCCAAGAGAGATGGCAGAAGTTGGTCATCTGTTATCAGCAAGGCATATTAAGCTTCTCTCTGTAACTCCGGCAAACCCCAAATTCTCCGCTTCGGTGTCTCGTTCTTTCACAATCAGAGCTTCTTCCAAAAGGAACTCTCTCTCTCTGGTACTAACCTCAAACAACACAGATTTCTCTCATGCTTTTTGCTTTCTTCATTTATGTTGTGTATATTAAGATGCTTATGGTAGTCGACAGCCGGCACTCCATGATCACGTCGAATCCTTATGATATTAAGATGCTTATGGTGTCGAACTATAAGTCTGTGTACCATTGATCACGTCGGTTGTTATATGGATGTGTGGTTTTTTGTATGCATACGCGATATAGATTCACAGTCTGATTACGTAAGTCTATAAACCGAACATTGTTCTAGGCATAACTACTCCATAGCATTATAAATATAGTTGAGCTGCCACTTGTGCTTCAGGGTAACAAAAAGAACAGCAGGAGCAGTAGCCCACGGAGTGTGATCAGATTATCAACAGCAGATGGGAAATGGCATGGGAATTGGAGCTGTGATTACATTCTCTCCCTCCAAGACCTGCGTTTGGATGATTTGATCGAAGATGAAAATACACATGACGCTCAAATTTCGGTTAATCTCTGCGTCCACAAGGTCGCTCCCATTTTTTTCGAATAGCAAATTAGATAATCGTCCTTAACGAGACAGTTTTTTCGATTAAGCACCAGTGTTAATTCCCTACTGCTTATACCTACCTGCAGCATGCTAGCTTTGGCTTCTCCGTTGATGGAAGGATATTAACATCATTCAACAGAAAATGTAGCAACTGCTCTTCTACCTACTGCAGAAAGGTATTTATTTTCTTAGCAGAAGCATGAAATCTTATTCGTTACTTCAATTATATATAAATTCCAGACAACACATTCACCAAATTATGCGTTGGTAAACATATTAACATCGTACTTTATGGAAATAAACGAGACACAAAGTTTGCAGCGCTCATCTGGTTATGCTGTGTCTAAACAGATTGACACACATTCAACGTGTGGGTTCTGTCGTCAAGCAGAGACGAACACACGGTTCAACTTCCTGAAATCGGTGGCGATGATCCATCATTAAGTCCCTAAACTCTCTGTATCTCTTGCTCTCTTTCTCTCCCTCAGCCCCCCATGATAGTGTGTTAACACAGCTGCATGCTGCAACAGGTTATCTACGTGAAGCCTGGAAATGAAGCAGAACTTGATTCACTCATACAGGACACGATACGGCTTGCAACCTCCATTAAAGTATGAACCAGTAATGAAATAGTTTCGATCATAATACGGACATAAGGCACGAAAGGAAGACCCTTAATGATTGATTAACGACGGGGTGAAATTGTCCTTTGCAGGATACTTGTTCAGAGCTGTGTGAGAAATCATATCCCACCGTGCAGTGTAAGTGTTGCGTGACAAGAAAAAATTAGCAATTATTTTAAGCAAGGAAAGTAATTAATTCCCCATACAATTTGTGATTTGCAGATATTGGTGGAAAAAGCACTGCTTCTGTTGATAAGAGATGGTCTAGGCTTTTGGAGCTAAAGAATATGCAATAATATATGCCTATGATATTATCTGATATTAAGCTCATATATTTTGAACAAGTGTGTGCAATGTACTGTAAATAGTATAACGCAGTTGGAACTGCGGTTTAGCGATACACATTTTTAGTAATAAGTTGAAGAGAAATTCTGATATAGACGCTTCAAATTTCAAATTTTTAAATCAAGTATCTATAGATTAAGCTTTTCTTTTACTAATTTTTTTTAATTTAAAATTTACGACTTTTCAACTTGTATCAATTTTTTCAAGAGCAAAAGTTCCACAGGATTTATGGCCATTCTATATACATTGTCAAATCCTCCCAATCCTACAGCATACCCTTCATCGAGTGACTCACATATGTGTCAAACATTGTGTAATTTTAATTGGGGTATGTATAAATATGTTGGTACGTTATGTAATTCTTGTGTTGGTCTCAATCCCAATGTGAATGATCAGTCTCTCGGAAACATCGCCTTAATAAACTATTGTCTCATCAACAACTTCCGAGCCTCTGATTTAAGATTATCTTCAGCGGCATGGCTTGCTGTTACATTTTGTTGTACTTGTCATCAACTTGTGTGCATCTATTCCTGGTGCCAAATTATGATTAATCCCTAATCAATCTTTTGCCACAGACAAACAAGATCCTCTCCCTCCCCTGCCAAGCACATAGAGGAAAGGATACATAACATCAATGTTTGGTTTGGCAAAAGTCCAACGATGTGCCTCTTTTTCTTATAAATTTCAAGCTAGTTTCCAAGATGTTCGTGTGATTCTTATGCATAATCTTCTTCATTTCTTTCGTCCTAACACCTATTCAATGGATTGGTCCTCCAAGATTTTCCTCATCAATTGCTTGTGTGCCAGTGCCGTACAAGAGCCATTGCTTGGGCATGAGGTTGCCGAGGAATACGTGCAAGCCCTTGTAGAAAATGAGGTCCATGTGAGCCTTAAAAGATGTGGCTTGTCGCAGAAGATGCCTTACTTTCGCGACTCACTCAGCAAGGACACTGGCACTACCCCATTGGTAGAGAATAGAGATAGATGGCACTTCTCCAGCCTCTCTTTCCGAGTGTTTCAAGGCTTTCTTTGGGCTTGTTTTGGGAAGCGAGAGTTCTCTGCCGGAATTTGAGCAGATGCAGGGTCCAAAGTAGCGTTCTGAAGCTTGTATCCAAGTGGCTGAATCATTGGCCCAAGCATATGACATTACATATGAAGCAATTATGGATCCCAAAAATGGCTCCTCAGATCCCAAGTCACCGGCAAGGCATCCTCCAGAGTCCAGACCAGATAAGGACCATTTTGGGAATTTGAAGCACCCATGAAGCATCTTATTTCCGTCGAACAAGTTCTACTTACTGTTTGATTGTGATTGTGAGACATTAGGTGAAGAAAATGAAGAAACTCTACATTTCTGCATTTGCAGCAAAGAAATCGTAATTCGCATGTCTTTTTTCAAACCAAATGTTAACCAAGCCCAAATCATCCGGAGGTGATGAAACAACGTGCATGGTCCTACAAACACCGTTTTCTTAAGGCTGCTTTAACAGTACTTTCTCTTCTGTTATAGAGCAGGTTGACAACAGGTTTCACCAGACCTCATTTGTTGAGTAATACAGGATTTCATACAAGTTCGGATAATACTAAATCGAACTAGTATCACCGGGTTGTGGCAAGTCCCTTGGCTAAGATTAAAGAGAAATTGTTAGCTCATCAATCAATACCGTAAAATTAAGAGAATTAAAAGCACCCAAAAGAAAAGACTGAACATGATTTAGGTGTTATCATACACAATAATCTATTCAGACTCCGCAGTTAAGGTTGCTTACAAGAGAGAAATGTTTGATAATCCGGCGTCATGCTGCAGCTCTCCTCTATAATTATGGAAACGAAAAGTACTTATAGCAGAGGAATCTGCAAGAGGTTCAAGAAAAAAACAATGACAATTCAAGAGAAAAGACAAAGAAGAAAAAGGAAATGGGTCTTTTGCAGATATACAGACAGAAAGAAATTAGGCAAACGAAGCAAAATAATCATCACGCCCCAGATTTAAGTACGAAGCGAGTAGGGAACTGTATATAAAATTTAAAACTTACTTTGAAGACAGTGTATCATCAAGAAAGTCTCAATCCTAGACTAGGTAGCCCAAATATTTGGGGAGGCAATGAAAAAACAGCGCACGTTAAAAAGGTCGTACCCAGTGCACAAGGCTCCCGCTTTACGCAGGGTCTGGGAGAGGTGAATGTCGGCTAGCCTTACCCCCATTTATGGAGAGGCTGCTCCCAAGTCTCGAACCCGAGACCTACCGCGCACGTTAAAAAATAAAATAAAATAAAAATAAAAACCAGTGAGAGTTTAACCTGTTACTCATGCATCTGAGCTGGTGAATTACCTTGGGCACAAATAACCATCCAGTTTTTCCATCATATGCTTTGACGGCAGCAAGGGCGACTTAAGGTTGAACGCCACACTGTGCAGCAGGTTTCCGTAACTAAGCAATAAATACCAATAGACAAAGAAACAAATAAACAACGAAAGAATTGAAACAATATAGAGGGTTACCTTTTCATCTTCATGATGCCAAAGCAACGAAAAAGTTTATATGGCGCAAACCTTTTCAAAATAACCATCGGTTTCAAGTTCCACCAGCTGATACTGTTTAGTTTGACAGTACTCTGTTGCAGGCAAAACTTATACTTAGGGCATAGTGATCCAAAGAGGTATGTATACATATATGTAAGAACGTCAGTACATATAAATATGCGTTCACATAGATGCAGAGATTAACATAAGCAAAAATACAAATATTAACAGCAAATCATAACAGTGTCAGAACAAAGATATTGAACCATGAAGTATGTTGTTAAATTTTAAACTTTCCATCAATATGTTGAGAAAGATAGCTTATCTGGAAGTCCAAAAGTCTTCAGATACCACCAGGAAAAAGTGGATAAATAATGTCACTCATATCACTTATATCATCAATTGAATATATGCATACAAAGATTGCAGATAAACAATACATATGTCTGTCCAAGCTTAAAAATCAAATGGCATAACACAAACAAATAAATAACGAGAGCACACTTACATACCACACACGCAATTAACAATTATCTAATTTGAAAGGGTAGAAAAACCTTCAAAGAATGAGAAGATATACCCGTAACTGCTTTCACGGTACCTGGTCCCTTATTGAAGGGGAAGGAAGTTACAACACCATTTTAGCCAGATTTTTCAATCATACTAAGTGGCCCTGCCAAAATTGGGAACCATCTCCTTTGCTAGCTGGCTAGCCTTTTGTATCTCCCCACTTGAACAGAGTATATTAATTTGTTTATAGCAATAGTCAAAGTCATTAAACTGAGACCTTCTCTCCATGCCATAATTTTCCGCCACCTTCTCTACTTTCTTCATTTCAGAAAGCTGACTATCCAACTCTGCATCGGTGTTGGTTACAGAAGTTGAAACAACTGTACCAGAAGCCTCCCTGTCATAAGGCTTGTCTAGTTTATGAGATTGTTGGTGAGTATTAGGTGAACCTCTAACAGGGAAAAACATGCACCCAATTTCATTACGGACAGTAAGTGCTTTTTCGATACGGCCTTGTTCACACAAAGAAACAAGAAAACCTTCTAAAGAATCTGTCTCAACCTCAACATCAACTCTGTTTATTAGCTCAACAACAGATTGGGAGTGAAGCATTTCTTTCAAGATGGTTCAGGCTTCTTCCATCCTTCCCTTGGCGCATAGACCTCTTAGTAAATACAGGAAACCCAAAAAATCAGGTAATGTACCCTTTCCTTTAAGCTCGACAAAGAATTCGATAGCCCCTTCCATATCACCCTTTAGACAAAAGCCATTGATTACAATGCTAACAGTGAATTCATCAGGCTTGAGGGATTTTAAGTCCAATTCATAAAGAACCTTCAAGGCATCATATCTCCAATTTTGTAATAACCATCAATAATCGAGTTGTATACATGTGTATTTGGTTTAAAGCCCTTGAGAACCATCCTCTCAAAAAACTCCTTGGCATCCAGAAGAAACCCCTCTCTACGTAAGGCATCAATCAATGTAGCATAAGTGATTTCCGTGGGTACCAAATTAATTCTCTCTAATGAATCAAATAGCCAAAATGCTTCAACAAGGTGGCCTTGGCGGCATAATCCATTTATACTGAATTATAAATGATGATATCAAGGGTCACCCATTTATTTTTAGCAAAACTACACAGATCTAATGCCTCATTGATATATCCTAATTTACAAAGACTATCAACTATAAGTGAATAATCAAATGCATCCAGAATAGATAGACCATCTCCAGCCACCATGACAAGTTTATATGCATCCAAAACTCTACCATTCTTTATAAGTGTGTTAAAAAGAGTAACAGGCAAAGTGACGGTTGCAGGCTTGTCCTTCATTTTGTCTAGAAATTGGAGGGCATCATCAACGCCCTTCAGACATATGTAGTAAGCCAGAATCCTGCTTACCTTGGGTTCTTCTAGGCCATACTCTTTCAGAAAGATGTTCAAGAAAGACTAAGTTAGTGAATCTTTCCCATCACCAATTAGACCTTTTAAAATTGTATGGTAAGTTTTTCTTGTGGTAATTGACCCTTTCCTCCTCATCACCAAATACACTTCACATGCAGACTCAGGAAAACCTCTCTTGCACAAGAAACTGATAGCATCATTGCTTATAATATCATACACTTCTATCTCCATTTTATCAATTCGTCGAACCAAATTTAAAACTCCAGCTGAACTTTTTTCTTCAAAAATTGCTTTCAACAGAATTTTATAGATACCAGCATCCTCAAATGCCCCCACCATGAACAGTGCTTTATTAAGTATGTTACACATAACAACATCTATGTAGACTCCAGCTTCCTCCAATCTCATCTTCGTTTCCAGAATCCCAGTGATATTTTCTTCCTCAATATATCCATGTAGCAATGTACAATATGTTATTGTATCTCCAAGTATACCCTTTGAGATCTCATTGGCCTCGGATGTCCTCCCAGATTTGCATAATCCATTCATTACAGTATTGTATGTGACAATGCTTGGATTAATCCCCCTTTTCACCATTTCATGTAGCAAATCAAAAACACCATCGAGATCCCCTATAATGCAAGACCCGTGAATTAAAGTTGCATATATAAACTCATCAACTTCAATTCCCAAATCTTCAACCATCTTGAAAATAGCAAATGCCTCCTCCATTTTTCCTTTCTTGCAGAACCCCGACATGATGGCAGTATACGTAATCAAATTGGGTTCTAATCCACCTTTCCTCATCTTTATCACAAAACCAAGCGCCTTTTCTACATCTCCTAGCTTGGAAAACCCACATATCGTAATAGTATGGCTAATTGTATCTGATCTTATGCCTTTATCCACCATCTGTTTATTCTTGTCAAATACCTCCATCAGAACCCCGTCCAAAATATAACCACAAATCCAACTACTAAACAAAACAAAATGCCAAACCTTGCTTCTCAATCCTACAAACCAAATCACAAACCTCATTAACTCTGCCCAATTTACAAAGAGCAGCAACTAGTGCTGCATAAGTCACAATATTAGGCTCCAAAGCTGCTGAATCCACGGCATTCTCAAGAAATTTGACTGCGATTTCCGGCTTCCCAATCTTACAAAACCCGGAAATTACTGAACTAGAAACAAAATTATCAAAAGGGTACTTAACTTTCTCATCAGTCATCAAGTCCAGCACCTCAATTGCCTTGCTCATATCTCCCTCATTGCTAAACGAATGAATTAACGAGCAAAACGTGAAAGAAGAAGGAAAAATACCGTGGGTCCCCAAGAATCCCGCAACACCAACAAAGCCTTCTCGGGGTCTTTCCGGTTGATACACAGGCCTTGAATGAGAGAGTCCCACATCCGATTCCGCCGCAACTTCGAAGCTTCGGTCATCTGGGTCCTCATAAAATGCTCTGCTTCTTCGTATTTCTGCAGAATAGGTCACGATGGAGTGCGCCTGGGAGTTGCCTTTGATTTGGTTGGACTCCATTTGGGAGAAGAAGTGGAGGAGGGTGTTGAACCGGCGGGTTCGAGAGAGGAATTGGACGATGGATTTGAGCGTGGGAGTGAAGCCGCCTTTGAGTAGAGTTTGAAGGGGTAGGGGTTCCGGAAGACTGGTTCGGCAAGAAGAAGAAGAAAAGGATCGAATTAGTCTGGTGTGGAAGATTGGAGAGAAGATTATCATTGTTTGGGGAACTTTTGAAGAAACAATTAGTATCCGTCCCTAGTTAAAATGTTATTATTTTTCAGATTTTGATTAAAGTTCTTAACGATAATGCAATTGTCATGTGCCGGTCCGGCCCCATCACATCCGAGTTTGATTCCACCGTTATGATATTGTCTATTTTGAGCCCCGATCACATCTTCACGATTTTGTTTCTGAAAATTCAGACGAGAACTTTTCTAATGGGTCACTCATCGCCCAGAGGTGTGGATCATATAAGCCTTATATGTATATTCTCATCTTTACCTAGCACAAGGCATTTTAAGAGCTCACTGGCTTCGGGTTTCATCGGAACTTCGAAGTTAAGCGAGTTCGCGCAAGAGCAATCCCATGGTGGGTCCACTAGGAAGTTCTCGTATAAGTTCCCAGAAACAAAACCGTGAAGACGTGGTCGGGGCACAAAGCGGACAATATCGTGCTACGGTGGAGTCGAGCCCGAGATGTGGTGAGGACCCGGGCCGGGATGTGACACAATAATGAATTTATATGTAAATTACGTAATTTTCAAAATAAAAATTAATATTTGATTTAGGATTTTAATACATACACCTTTATTAAACTTCTAGCTAATTTTCAATTCAAAACATTTCCAAGAGAAAAAAAAATAGATAAGTTTGTACCCCTTAATTTTTTATAAAAATGTTTTCAATTTTTTAATCTTACAATGTGCACATTCTTAAATATACCAATTTGTTGTATGTAAAATGAATCATTATATATATATATATATATATAATCTAATCAATTTTTAAACTTATATGAGTACATTCTTTTTCTTGATTTGAGAATGTATCCATATCAAGTTTAATCGAATAAATTTACTAATGTTACTAAGTCTAATATCTATTATTTTTTGTGTGATTTTGAAGTATGTACCCATATCTGGTACAATAATTTTTTTGTTAATTTTGATGAATGTAGCTATGTTTATATACATACATATATATACATACACAAAATATATTGGACAGTATAATTTATATTTTAATATTTTTAATCCCACAAATTATAGTTTTTTAAATTTAAAATCTCAGGTTCATGACCAAAGAGATAGAGGAAGATCTAGGAAGTCTGTGGAAGAGACTCTATGAAAAGACTTAATGTACTTGGATCTAACAGAATACGTGGCACAAAACGGACCGTAATGGCGTTCTAGGATTTATAAAGTCGACCTCACTTAGTGGGAAAATACTTTGTTTTTGTATTGCCCTACTTCTTAGTCTAGCATTGCATCAAAACGTTTCACTCCAACTTAGTATATTATAAATTCGTCCAGCTTAGTAGTTGAAGCTAGTTCAATCCGAGATAATCCGGGGCAACAAATGCACCTAAAACTTTGAGTTCCCCAAATTTTTAAAGTTGGGGCAATCTCAACTTGGACCATTGGACTCTCACTTCAACAGGGTAATGCTAGGTAGAGTAAGTTTTGTAAACTAAATGACATGGAAGTTGATAATTAGATTATGAAGGGAAATAGTGAGATTTATGTGGGATTTCTAGTGACTAGCATGCATATACAATTCAAAATTTATATACATTAGCAACGGAAGCATGTTATCACATAATATCAAATCTATAATCATGCAAATCCCCTTCAAGAAGCATAGGTTCATATATGATGCATCTAAGAAATCATTGAAGAACAAAGTGAATGTATAGTTTTATACCTCTTAATCTAGATTTGAGACCAAGGATTGACCACCTCCAAGCTCTTTGTTCTTGGAACTCCTTCAGCCTAGCCTCCCTCCTTGCTTCCTCCACCTTACTAGAATGAGTGCTCCTTGGTTCTCCTTTAGTCTCCAAGGTTGAAGACCTCTAAAGATCCACACCCACTAGTGTAGTGAGATGGATGGAGGAATAACCAAAAGGGAGAGAAGATGATTAGCTACTTCTCCCTTATGGTGGCCGGCCTTGTGTGTGTTTTTTGAGAGAGAGATGTTTTCTTCTTTTGTGAAAAATGAACACACAAAACCCTAATGAAACTTTTCACTAAAAGTTCCTTTTATATCTCAAAGATAGTTAGCCAACAACTTGACTCCCTCTCTCTCCCTTTCCCTTTATTTGGCGGGCCCCTTTAGTGTTGTTTGGGCTTTGGACTTTTATTATTTCAAGTCATCTTATACTTAAATAAAAGCCCAATGGGTTTGTGCTTAATGGGCCCATATTAACCCGAACTTTTCTTTAAGTCCAAAAACGATCTTTCATCGCTTCTATGATTTCTTTAGACTTTCTAATCAATCATAACACTTAATTAATCCAATTAATTTATTCCATCATCCATTAGTTGTCTCATTACAAGAGTGTATCGGTGTACAATCATTTTATGTTCTAATTAGCAAGGTAGTGAGGTGATTGGCACCAATCTAATTGATTATATTTAATCCAATCACTTAGTGAATTAAAACTTACTTTTAATTCTCATTCTTCTTTGACGATTACTTATTTAATCATCTAGAAGAACTCACAAGCCATGAGTGACATCTAACCATATATCATGGCTACCCAAGCTAATGTAGAATTTGTTCGGAGAACCTATTCAGTTGGAATTACAATGTAATTCGATCATTCTCTAAAACAATACTCTCAATCACATTATTAGGGTATGGATATATTATGTCAAACCCCTAATGTGATTATTTCATGTTATATGATTCAATTGAGTCGTATAGGAACGCTTTCCTTTATTACGCTCGATACTTCGGCCGAAGATTCCCGAATCATATCTTAGAGTATTCATCATCTCATAACGAGGATTAGAGATCCCTTGTTGATCATACACATGCCTCTGAGAATAAATCACTGACCCCAACAATGCATAAAGCACACCCAAGATAACTATGATGTCTCATGTCAAAGGATTACTTACATTATTCCAACCATTAGAGTTACTTGCTTGACATGTGAGTAGACCTCCATGCAAGTACTCTCGTTGAATTGTGTTCAGTGAACTCATTCCCATAATGAGCACCTACATACCTGTCTTAGTGTCACTACACGAATGAGATGAGACTTTCCATCCTTCCAATTGAAGGGGACATAGTATGTACTGGTCTATGCATTGTCAGTATCCCTCTGACAATCTTATGACCAGGAACCTTTTTGGACATGATGGTTATGTGAAGAAGGTCTATGTAGTCTAACATCATTAGATTACTTCTTTCATCGATCCATTGTCCATGGATTCACTATTTAGGACATATATCGTTTATTGAGACATTCCTAATTAGTATATTTGCCTTTTGATGTATAAGAGTCATCTATACACTCATTCATTGTCCTGAAAAGGTTTCTTCCAAAGATTGACTTTCAGGGCATATCTCCAACAGATTATTACTTAAGTGTTGATTAACGTGTTTATTTGTAAATTTAGTCTATCTAGCATTGTTTCTTTCCAACTTTTTCTTAGCTCCCAAGCACTTGGAACTAGAATAACCACAACAAGTGGTCCAACAATAAGGATGCATACTGCGGCTCCTTAATAAATAAATAAATGTTGGAGATTCCGGTTCGATACTCTAAGTTGGTGAGTTTGCTTGATTGTGGCCACGGACATAATAAAATTCCCATAGCCTCTTCGGATTCAGAAACGATGAGTAACTATGGCTGACCAACAGTTGTCCTCCTTTTAAAAAAAAAGGAAAATTAATGAAAATGATTTGAAAACTTTGAGTTTTAACGATAAGAACAAAATAAAAGGTAAAGTAAATAGTATCATGATTGATTTTTAGTGTAAAAATATAAATTTTAATTAAAATAAACAGTACTGAACACTTTTGATTAAAGTTCCATGAAAAAAAAAACCTGGAGCTAGAAAAACAGTTCCCAAGAAAATATGAGCAACGCCAGAAGCGCCCTTCTATCCCCAAATCCGTTAGTTGAAAACCCCACCCAAACCCCACGCCAGAAAGTTCCCCAAATTTCTTACCAGTCTCCGCTCGTCTCAACGATTCGAGCAGCACCTCTAACCCACAACTCAAGCTCTCCGTCCACCGCTTCACACTAGGTATCTTTCTCTCTAGATTGAGATTTTGAATGTGATTGGTTGATGGGGTTTGTGTAGGAATCCTTGGGATGGACGAGTCCTACTTACCCAGATGGATTGGATACGGGTTCGGTTCGCTTTTGATTTTGAACCATTTTGTTGGCTCAACTGCAACCCCAGCATAGCTTGTAAGAGAACGAAACGATTTTTCGTGTGTTAATTTTGTTTCAGTTTGTGTTGGATTTTATGTTAATTTATGTGGGTTTGTTTTGTTTTCGATTTTCGGATAGAGGACGGAAGCTTTGGGTCTGTCTTTGGCTGCATTCTCCGTAGCACTTCCCTTCAACAACAAAGTCTTTTTCCACCAAGTGAGATCGGCTCGGCTATATATTCATTCTAGATTCATTTTCATAAGGATTCGATGTAACCTAAGAGTGCCGGCTGTTGACTACTAGACGCCCTCCCCCTCCTCCTTTATCTGGGCTTGTGACCGGTAATGTAAGATAATCTTACACAGGCGGAGCTTCCGTAGCACTTCCCTATCTTGCAAAATTTCTCAAGGTATAATTTCCAAGGCCCTTATAAACTCCATTTTATTAGATGTCAATGTGCACACAACTTGTAAAAATGCAAAGGCGGCTTAAAGTGAGATTCGATGCATGAGCCCTTATGGTGTGCTTTGGATGAGGGACTTTAAAGTTCCATGGAACTTTGGCTAAATTTGTTAAGAGTGCACCACAAAAATTACAAGGAGCGACTTAAAAATGACTAAATGCAATACGTTTGAGAGAAATTTCAAATGACTCGTTGAAAGGTGTTATTTTGAAGGTCCATGTAGCGCAGTTGTTGTGTTTTTGTAGTGGCTTTGTAGTGCTCGAATAGTTCATTGGTGGTGTCCATGTAACTTTTTATAATTGAGTTTATAGTTCATTGGTACTTTGAAAATCCGTCATCCAAGTATAGGGTTAATCCATTTTACTTTTTAATATGAAAGATCATACGTGATTCTCAACGGCTGAATCGGATAAGAGAGTATAATTTCTTTATGTGAGTTAAAATAGCTAGAACTAGTACAATTTATAGACCAATTCACACCAAGAGTTCAATCCCTATCCATGGGAATTTCAGGATCTTACATTCTTAAGCGCCCATCTACTGAGACTGGATCACGATGACTCTGTGTTTCTCTCATAAAAGTTTGTGAATAGCTTGTTGTATGCACTGCCAAATCAGCATTTTTGTATGCCTGACTATGTGGAATTTATTGCAGGGTGCTATTCCGATGGATCAAACAAGCATCCCACAAGGGTGTGAGCAAATATTTGTGATATCACAAAATGTCTCAGATACTCAGGAGGAGGACTTGGCTTGGGCCATGTACATCTTGTTGCGCAATACAAACACGATAGCAGTGGTACATAGCAGGTTGTTATTACATTTTGGCACTTCACCGTTATAAAATTAACTCCGCCTATGTAAGTTTATCTTACATGGCCGGTCCCAAGCCCGGGTAAAGGAGGAGGGAGAGGGCCGTCAGGTAGTCGACAGCCGGCACTCCACAGTTACGTCGAATCCTTATGAAAATGAATTCAGAACGAAATCGCGCTAAAGCTAGGGCGTCACCCGTAAGTGGCGCGCTGTGTGGCCCGAGCACAGTGATAAGTGAGCAAGGGTCGCTGTATCTCCATAGGCACCCGGATGCAGTGTTAAATAAGCAAGGGGGCCATAAAAACTTCTTTTCGAACGACTCCACTCAAAGTTGTTTGGGCGCATATGCACCTATCAACTTTACACGGGACACACAAAAGAAGTACTTTGATTCCATTGGACGGGGGAGGGTGAAGAAGCTAGGACAGAAGGGTAGAGTTCAGGAGAGTAGAATGCGTTTAGGAACGTGGAATATAGGAACCTTAACGGGAAAATCTATGGAAGTAGTGGAAGTTATGGTGAGGAGAAGGATAAATATTATGTGCCTACAAGAAACTAAGTGGGTTGGTCTTAAGGCAAATGATCTAGAAAACTCAGGGTTTAAACTTTGGTACTCGGGCACAAATAGAACGAGAAACGGTGTTGGCATCATCGTGGACAAGACCTTAACACAAGATGTTGTAGATGTCAAGAGGGTAGGAGATAGAATCATGGCAATCAAGATTGTAATAGGACAAGAACTTATCAATGTGATTGGTGCGTACGCACCTCAAGTAGGGTTGGATATGAGTTCGAAAGAGAAATTTTGGGAAGACCTTGGAGACTTGGTGCAAGGAATTGCTCAGACGGAGAAGTTATTTATAGGAGGAGATTTAAATGGACACGTGGGCAGGGAGACAGGCAACTATGGAGGTTTTCATGGTGGCCATGGTTTTGGGGAGAGAAACGAGGATGGGGAAGCTATCTTGGATTTTGCAATGGCATATGATCTCTTCTTAGCCAACACCTTCTTTAAGAAGAGAGAAGAACATGTGATCACCTACAAGAGTAGGTCGTCAAAAACACAAATAGATTTTCTTCTAATGAGGAAAGGGGATCGTATAACTTGTAAGGATTGCAAAGTTATACCAGGAGAGAGCGTGGCTAATCAACATCGCTTGTTGGTGATGGATGTACATATCAAAAGAGTGAGAAAAAATAACAAGACTTGGAAGTGCCCAAGGACTAGATGGTGGAATCTAAAAGAAGAAAAACAAGTCATTTTCAAAGAGAAAGTAATCACCCAGTGTGTGTGGGATAGAGAGGGGGAAGCTAGCCAAATGTGGGATTCCATGGCTAGTTGTATCCGAAAAGTAGCAAAAGAGGTGTTAGGAGAGTCCAAGGGCTTTGCAGGGCTTTGCCCCACACCAAAAGGAATCTTGGTGGTGGAATGAGGAGGTACAAACAAAGGTGAAGGCTAAGAAGGAATGTTGTAAAGCCTTATACAAGGATAGGACCGATGAAAATGGTGAAAGGTATAGAAAAGCGAAGCAAGAGGCGAAGAAAGCTGTGAGAGAAGCTAAGTTAGCGGCTTATGACGATATGTATAAGCGACTAGATACCAAAGAAGGAGAGTTGGATATTTATAAACTAGCTAGAGCAAGGGAAAAGAAGACAAGGGACCTAAACCAAGTGAGGTGCATCAAGGATGAGGATGGAAAAGTTCTTGCTACAGAGAACGCGGTTAAAGATAGATGGAGAGGTTATTTTCATAATCTTTTCAATGAAGGACATGAAAGGAGTGCTTCTTTAGGGGAGTTGAGTAACTCAGAAGAGTGTAGAAACTACTCTTTTTATCGTCGAATCCGGAAGGAAGAAGTGGTTGTAGCTTTGAAGAAGATGAAACATAGAAAAGCAGTAGGCCCAGACGATATACCAATCGAAGTGTGGAAAGTTTTGGGAGAGACATGTATAACATGGCTCACTGACCTTTTCAATAGGATTTTGAAAACGAAGAAGATGCCAAATGAGTGGCGAACGAGCACTTTGGTGCCTATCTACAAGAATAAGGGCGACGTACAAAATTGCATGAACTATAGGGGTATTAAGCTAATGAGTCATACAATGAAGCTCTGGGAGAGAGTCATTGAGCATAGATTGAGGCAAGAGACACGGGTTTCGGACAACCAATTCGGGTTCATGCCAGGGCGCTCAACCATGGAGGCAATCTATCTCTTACGAAGATTGATGGAAAGATATAGAGATGGGAAAAAGGATTTACACATGGTCTTTATAGATTTGGAAAAAGCGTATGATAGGGTCCCAAGAGACATTCTTTGGAGGATTTTAGATAAGAAAGGAGTACGAGTAGCATATATCCAAGCTATAAAGGATATGTATGAAGGAGCAAAGACTGCCGTAAGAACTCATGAAGGACAAACCGAAAGTTTTCCCATAACTGTAGGATTACATCAAGGCTCATCCTTAAGTCCTTACCTTTTTGCGTTGGTAATGGATGAGTTAACAGGACATATTCAAGATGATATTCCTTGGTGTATGCTTTTCGCAGACGATATAGTGTTGATAGATGAAACTCAGGAAGGGGTAAATGCAAAGCTTAACCTTTGGAGAGAAGTGTTGGAATCTAAAGGTCTTCGCCTAAGCCGATCAAAGACAGAATATATGGAGTGCAAGTTCAGTGTAAATGGAGGCCAAAACGAGTTAGGGGTGAGGATCGGAGATCAAGAAATACCAAAGAGCGATCGTTTTCGTTACCTAGGATCTATCTTGCAAAAGAACGGAGAATTAGATGGAGATCTCAACCATATAATACAAGCTGGATGGATGAAGTGGAAGAGTGCATCCGGCGTGTTGTGTGACCGCCGTATGCCACTGAAGCTCAAGGGAAAATTTTATAGGACGGCAATAAGGCCGGCGATGCTGTATGGCACAGAATGTTGGGCGGTGAAGCATCAACACGTACACAAAATGGGTGTAGCGGAGATGAGGATGCTTCGTTGGATGTGTGGGCACACAAGAAAGGATAAGATTAGGAATGAGGATATCCGGGGTAAAGTAGGAGTAGCCGAAATTGAAGGAAAGATGAGAGAAAATCGGTTACGGTGGTTTGGACATGTGCAAAGAAGGCCTACTGACGCTCCGATTAGAAGATGCGACTATGGGACAGAAGTTCAGGGCCGAAGGGGTAGAGGAAGACCTAGGAAAACTTTGGAAGAGACTCTAAGAAAAGACTTAGAGTACTTGGATCTAACGGAGGACATGACACAGGACCGAGCACAATGGCATTCAAAGATTCATATAGCCGATCCCACTCAGTGACTTGGATTTTCCAAGTCTCCAACCGAGAAGTTTTCCTCACTCAGGAAATTAAGGGAATACTACCTCAACCTACATGCTCCACTCACAAAGCTTCAACATACAAGCTTCAACAAAAGAAAATTCAGAGAACTTAGCGAAGAAGGCTTTGGGGTATTCAACACAATACGTTGAAATGAAGGAAAGCTATTTATTGATATCCCCGATAAGTCACAAATATGTACATATACATGAGTCAAAATAAACAAACAAGAGGGAGCCTTCACAAAGGTTGCTTAGGAGAAGTCTCAGCAGTCGGTAGAGCCCCAGAAAGAGCAGGCACTGGAAGGGGATCATTTGGAGCCTCAGTACTGGACAGAACCCTAGAAGGAGGAGGCAGCAGAGGTTGATCATTTGGAGCTTCATTACGCGGTACAGCCCCAGAAGACGAAGGCAATAAATGCCTTTGGAACAAACCCACAAATCTCTGATGATCAAGTAAAACCTGACCATCAGATTCCTTCATCTGGTCAAGCTTCCTCTTCATGTTTGTAGCATAGTCATGTGCGAGCCGGTGCAACTGTTTATTCTCATGCTTGAGCCCTCTAATCTCCTGTTTGAGACTCATCACTTCAGCCGCCAATGATTCAACTTGGCGGGTTCGAGCAAATAGGCGTTGGGCCATGTTAGACACAAAACCTACACACTGAACACTGAGAGCCAGAGAATCCTTAACAGCCAACTCATCAGATCGTTTGGAAATTAGTCTGTTATCTTTGGGAGTGAGAAGGTTCCTGGCCACTACCGCAGCGGTCATATCATTCTTCATCACGGAATCCCCAACAGTAAGAAGACCAGTAGGGGAGACGAAGGATGGGCGCCATATGTTGTCTGGAGAAGGCGTGGCTGCCTCTTCAACAAGGTTCAAGTCAAAACGACGGTCGGAAGGGCCAGACATTTTCAAAGGTGTTGAAGAGAAAAGAGGTCGGACAAATCAAGATCTTAGAAGTGCAAGAATTGAGCTTCTACTGGTGGAGATTCAAGTGTGCTTTGGAACTTAATGCCAGTCTCTATAAAAATCTGCACTCGACGAAGCTTCAGAAATCGAAGAGGCGTTTGCTTTCTCAAAAGCTGGGCTGCTCAGAGACCACGAGACGTTTGCTTTCTCAAAAGTTGGGCTGCTCAAAGACCACGAAGGCCGATCTCAGAAATCGAAGAGGCACTTGCTTTCTCAAAAGCTAGGTTGCTCAGAGACCACGAGGGCCGATCTCAGAAATCGAAGAGGCACCTACTTTTCCAGCCTTGTCAGCACCTGTCAGCTTTGCGGAAATTATGGGCATTATGTCGAAGATTTCTGGTGAAGTAGAAAGCACATGAATCTTACTGTTCAATCACCCACTTCCCACACGCAACATTAGCTCATGGGTACCACAGATAACTTTGCCAAAGTTCTCTGACAAAGTTGAGACATGTGAAGCTTGCAGCTCCCACTACACCGTTCTGACCAAGAAGGGTAAAAGAATAGCAAAGAAACAGCACTAACAAAGTTTAGACACATAAATTTTGAAGGTCTAGCTACCATATTATTACCCGCAAGGGTAAAGGAACAGTACCACTACTGGATAATTGGAAAGTCCCTGTGTGTCAACCTCTGTGCTTCGTGGCAAGATAGACTAGCAAACATGCCCAACCTTTTCTCACATTCGAGAAAACACTCCCAACAAGATTGCTTGCTCCAAAATCGAAGAGGCACCGCCCTCCGAATCTCGAGAGCCAGACTCCCAACATGATTACTTTCTCAAAAATCGAAGAGACACCGCTCTCCGAATCTCGAGAGCCAGACCCCTAGCAAGATGGCTTTCTCAAAAATCGAAAAGGCATCGTTCTCCGAATCTCGAGAGCCAGATCTCCGACTGGATTGCTTGTTCGAAAACCGAAGAGGCACAACTTTCCCAACTTCAAGAGCCGGATCTCCTTGGATAAAGTTTGTCTGTAATCTTTACACGCAACATCAGCTTTCCAGATACCATAGACCACTTTTTCAAAGTGCTCTGACAAAGTTAAAACATGTGAAGCTGGCAGCTCCCACTATCGTGTTATGACCAAGCAGGGTAAAAGAATAGCATTACTACTTGTTGTTAGGGAGACTCCTATATATGTTGACCTCCATCCCCAACAGACAGGCAGACCTGCAAAAATGTTCAACCCTTCCTCATATCTGAGAGGGCACTCCTAAAGAAGCCTTTCGAAATATTCAGCTTTCTTTCCCCCCGATAATACCTCTGCAAACAAGCTATACTAGAGCAAGAATATCTCATATCATAAGGGTTAAAAGCAAGAGTATCCCATATCATGTTTTTTCCCTGTCTTTTCATTTGGCCTTGTTCTTACCTACAAGACAAGGAGAAAGAGCAATCAGTCAGCACTTGGAATCAAGCTTCCAGTAAGGAACTGACTGCCTGGAGCCCCTTACTTGATTACTTACCTGGCATTGCTCTCGAGTACTCATCTTCAACATCTTATGCTTCCAGGGAAGATACCGCATCTGCCTGAGGAACATATAGGGCAAGTGAGAAGGATACAAGGAAGCATGTGGAGACAAGCGTAACAGCACACGTGCCGATACATCCACTACTCTGTCAAAAGCAAAAGTATCCCATATCAGCAGGGTCGAACGTACTATAGATTTGATGGACTTGTTTTGACCCTCAAATTCTTCAGTCGGCCTTATACTCTGGAGGAAACCAGAAAACCCTCCAGCCCAGTTCAAGAATAAGCCTGTGGAAAGTTACTTCTTCAAAAGCAAAAGTATCCCATATCATCTCTTCTCATTTTTCTTCTCTTTATCCTTCATGCTGCCTGCAAGATAGGGAGAATGTGAACAATCAGCCGGAACTCGAAATCAAAGTTCTGATCTGAGACTGATTGCTTGGAGCTCTGATTGCTTACCTTGTTTGTCACCTCTTTCAGCAGATCCCCTAGCTCGGCGACTTGGAAGACTCCTACTACATGGTTTGTATCGCGCTTGACCAAGCCCGAAACTACAAGTAAGCTTCAAGTGAAATTGATACATTACCTTGTGCATCTCCACCAGTTAAAGATACCACCCCTGGATGGAGGAAGAGTACTTCCATAGAAGATGCAACATCTACCTACGAGACAGATAAGGCAAGTCAAGACGATACCACACTCCGGAACTTAGAAGTTTCGTGATTACGAGATCATTCTCCCACAATATTTCCTAATGTCATTTGTACTAAATCATTCACTTGTACTCACTAAAAGAGAGCTTGAACCTATGTACTTGTGTAAACCCTTCACAATTAATGAGAACTCCTCTATTTCGTGGACGTAGCCAATATGGGTGAACTACGTACATCTGGTGTTTGCTTTCCTATCTCTATCCATTTATATACTTATCCACACTAATGACCGGAGCAATCTAGCGACGATCACAAAAAGCGACCGTTTTCGCTACCTAGGATCTATCTTGCAAGAGAACGGAGAATTAGATGGAGATCTCAACCATAGAATACAAGCTGGATGGATGAAGTGTAAGAGTGCATCCGGCGTGTTGTGTGATCGTCGTAGGTCACTGAAGCTCAAGGGAAAATTTTATAGGACGGCAATAAGGCCAGCGATGTTATATGGCACAGAATGTTGGGCGGTGAAGCATCAACACGTACACAAAATGGGTAGCGGAGATAAGGATGCTTCGTGGGATGCTTCGTGGGATGTGTGGGCACACGAGAAAGGAGAAGATTGTGAATGAGGATATCCGAGGTAAAGTAGGAGTAGCCGAAGTTGAAGGAAAGATGAGAGAAAATCGGTTACGGTGGTTTGGACATGTGCAAAGAAGGCCTACTGACGTTCCGGTTCGAAGATGTGACTACGGAATAGAGGTTCGGGGCCGAAGGGTAGAGGAAGACCTAGGAAAACTTTGGAAGAGACCCTAAGAAAAGACTTAGAGTACTTGGATCTAACGGAAGACATGACACAAAACCGAGCGCAATGACGTTCTAGGATTCATATAGCCGACCCCACTTAGTGGGAAAAGGCTTTGTTGTTGTTGTTGTTGTTGTTGTACAGTTATAAAATTTACCTGGCGGATAGATGAAGGGGAAAAATCCATATTATTTTGGAGGACAAGGTACATTTTGTCACGTTAAGTGAGAGTAAATAAAATTGTGCTCTTGGGTTTTTAGATGTTTTGTTTAAGGTCTTAAAATGCAGTTGCTAATTTTTCAGATAATGTATATTGAAAATAAATTGTGCGTACGCGGCTAATTTTTCAGATGAGGTTTCAATAGCCGACGTACTTGGTTGGTTTGAGAAACAGATTGAAAGCATTAGCATTTCTGATGTGAAGGAGACCCTATACCTTTCTCAGATTGAGGGTAGCTATAACTTGGGTATTATTTAATCACCGTTGTTTCCAAAAATGACTGCCTTTACTTACAACAGTATGAAACTTATGTCCATGTTCCAGATTCTGGACTCTGGCAGATGCTACCGCAGGGGACTTGTTCCCTCCTTGTACAACCGATTCTGCAAGTTCAGCATTCAAGTGACGATGAGATCCAAAAAGTTGAAGGATTTGTCTTGTTGGCTTCCAGCATGGGGTATGCATGCAGTGATAAGGACAGAGCCTGGATTGGAGCTCTCACAAACAAGATCAGAGGTAAGCGATAAAGATAGAGCCTGGATAGGAGCTCTCTCGAAGAAACAAAACTAAACCAGAAAATAAGTGTAGTTATATAGCATATGAATTGGAATGCAGGATTGTTCTTTAAAATGCAACTTTATGGTTTGATTTTTGCTGATACAATCGTAGCAGGTATTAGTTTCGTAGGTACCAATTGCTGTGTTGGAATTCATATAAGATTTGAATGAGAAGAAGTGCACAAATACAATCCTTGCTTGATTTGCAAACTACAGTAAAAGTATAGACATTTTGCTTACTTCTTTTAGGATACCAGAATTAAGTGAACTAGCCTTCATGCACGCGCTCATGCTCGTGCAGAAAGCATTTTTTAAATCACGACGTGCTACACGCAACTTACAAGTTTTAAATGTATTTATATACGTGAATTAACAAAAGAAAAGTCAAATATTTGAAGTAAATGAATAATCTTAGATTATGCTAGAAAAAACCCCTCACAAACCAATCAAAGCAACTAAATTCATATAATAAAATCCGTCTTTCAATTTCCATCTACATTCTATTAAATTTACATTAAGAATAGATAAAATAATATTTAATAAACAACTTATTGAATCACATTATTGTTAGTTCATTGTGAGGCTAAACCTATCCCCTTCTCCCTTAGTGTAGATAATATTTTTTGTTAAAAAAAACAATCATTTGACAACTAATCTAATCATATTATTATGCGCATGCGAAAGACTTTTTTTATAATCGGTATTACACGCATCTTAAGATGTTTCGAACGTGTTAAAAAATAGAGAAAATAATATTTAATGAACATTGATTTAATCATATTATTGTTAGGCTATTGTGAGGTACTAATTAAAAAAAAATGTACAAAAAGAATTAATTATTAAAAAAATACTGTGAAAATGATGAAAATATTGTTGGATTATTTGGTGTATTATTTTGAATTGCTTTTGAAGTTTTTTATTTTGGAGGCATTTTTGTCCAAAACTTTTTGAGGTAGTTTGTGATCTCAATAGGGGTTGTTGGCTTTATATATAAAATAAAGATTGGAAAGTACATAAGAAGAACTTTGCAGCTTCCCTCATGGTCAGCCCTTGCTCTTGGTCTCCACGTAGTGTCAGCAACATTATTTTGACAAGAAACGATAGCGGTATTTCATTGATCACACAAACAAATATAAAGGTGCCAATTGGATACATTTGCTCCAGTGACTACTCCATTGATCTAGAATGAATTCGCACAAACAAACGATTGATTAAAAACCCTTACACGGCTACTGCAAGTGCACTCATACAAATTAGTCACAAGCAAGGAACAAAATGCCAATAATATTGGCGATATATCGCCGATATTATCGGTTTTTCACCGGACCGATATTTTAATAGGTATTCAAAGGATTTTCGTCAAAATTTCGCGATATTATCGATATATTTCCGAAATTATCGTGATATTATATAAAATATCGATAATATCTTTGGAGTCGGTGAGCGCGCTGCAGCTAACGCCGAAAAGCAGCGAAACGACGACGCTCAGGATGTCCTTGGTGCGATCGCGCAGGCTTCTGAGCGGGGGGGGGGAGCCGACTGATTTCGGTGATGACGGTGATGAAGCTAGAGGGGGAAGAGGAGGAGGGGAGACGGCGGAGGGAGAAGGAGTAGGAGGAAACGAAGAGGGTTTTGCAGGGCCTTGATGCAGTGGCGGAGATGGCGAAGAGGGAGAAGGTGAGGAGAGCGATGAGGTGGTGTCGCCGTTGATGTGGTGTGGAAGTGAGGGTGTGGGTTGGTTCACGGGGAGAAGGAGAGAGTGCAGATAGAGAGAGAGCACGGGTAGAGATGAGAGAGTGAGGGAAAAGAGAGAACTAAGAGAAAAGAGAGACCGCCTTCGTTGATGTGGTGTGGAAGCGAGGGTGTGGGTTGGTTCACGGGGAGAAGGAGAGAGTGCAGAGAGTGCAGAGAGAGAGAGCACGGGTAGAGATGAGAGAGTGAGGGGAAAGAGAGAACTGAGAGAAAAGAGAGACCGGGGACACAAAAGCAAGGTGGGCCCCCTGGGCACACCTATTAAGGTCCAAAAATAATTTTAAAAGTAAGATAAACTCAAACTTAGTGAAAATACAATTTAAATTGGGGGTGGGTGTAACAATCTACCCCTCTTAAAAGAATTTCGTCTCCGAAATTTAAAATCACTTACTAAACTGAAATACTCGAAAATAGGAAGAAGAATATATGTATAAAGAGAAATCAAGTCCAAATAATTACATCATATTAAAATTTGATTAATTTTTTTTCAGTTACATATATTATATATGATAAATTTCTATTTTAAATCAAGTCCAAATAATTACATCATATTAAAATTTGATTATTTTTTTTTCAGTTACATATATTATATATGATAAATTTCTATTTTAAATCAAGTCCAAATAATTACATCATATTAAAATTTGATTAATTTGGAAGAAGAATATATTTATAAAGAGAAATCAAGTCCAAATAATTACATCATATTAAAATTTGATTAATTTTTTTCAGTTACATATATTATATATGATAAATTTCTATTTTAAATCAAGTCCAAATAATTACATCATATTAAAATTTGATTAATTTCTTTTCAAGTATCTACTTTTGAACTACTCACCACGTTCACTCTATGTGGTACTAAGTCACTAACGTATCTTATTATGCAAAGTATAAAATGTAAAATATTGTACTAATTCATTATATATAAATGATTATGATGTGTTTAGACTTCTTTCATTAATTACTACATATTTTCTACACTTACTGTTTGTCAGCTAACTATATAATTAACTTGATAATGTTAAATCTATCATGCAATGCATTTCCTTTCAATTTGTTGTGATAAACTAATAGATAATTGACTAAATAAACATCCTGCAAAGTTTCAATAAAAATTTCCAAGTTTTTTTTACAATTTTTGTGATTTCCATATAATTTTTATCGATATCGATATTATCCCGATATTTCCAACGATATTTTCGTGTTTTCAGACTATGGATATTTCCGATATTATCGATATTTAATACCTGTCACGGGACGGATAGACGTATCTGTGTTGTGTGCTGTCGTTCCTCCTTTTCTCGATGGTTTTTGGAATTCGACATCAATTGTTTTCACACAATGGAACGAATCGACTCACCCCAATCTCCTCCACCACTTCTTTCCTGCTCCAGTGCTCCATTTTGGATAGCCAATCCTCCTCTTTCAACGAGATTCTTCTGTTAAAAAAAAAATAAAAAACCACCGCCAACCCTAAACCAATTCACCCAAATCCGGCGACTAGATCCACAGCACACGCGAGAACCGCGACGCACCACCGGTCAATCCACGCATTTTCCATAACCCTATTTACAGAAGGTAAGCAATTTATCCTAATTTAGATTTTAAAAAACTCTTCACCAAAGAAATTTATCTTCTGGTGATTTTTCTAGGGATCCAAGGATTGAAAATACAGAGTTTTTGTTTCTTGATTTCTACATTGCGGTGAAAATTCCCCTTTCTTAATTGATTCAAAGCATAGCTTTAGAAAAAATATGCAACTATTGGGGTTTTTTTGTTCCAATTTTTCAGATTTTGAGGGTTTTGTATCCAGGCTCAAACGTTGTTCGTCGTCTTTCAAATCCCTCTATGCTCATGGTAAGCAATTTAAACTTCTGGGGTTATTGAAATATGTTTGATTATATGGGCATGGAACTTAGTATTCTAGGTTATTGAATTTGAATAACTATTATTGGGGTTATTAAATTTGGTATTCTGTATTATATTGGAGTTATAATAGGTTTGATTTCAGTAACTTTTTGGGCTTATTGAATTTGTATGCTCTGTTTGGTATTGTGATTATTAGGCAGCAACAACACCAACAACAAAGCCTTTTTCTACTAAGTGGGGTCTATATGAATCCTAGAACGTCATTGCGCTCGATTTTATGTCATGTCATCCGTTAGATCAAAGTACTCTAAATCTTTTTTTAGAATATCTTCCAAAGTTTTCCTAGATCTTCTTCTACCCCTTCGGCCCTGGACCTCTGTCCCGTAGTCATATCTTTTAACCAGAGCGTCAGTAGGCCTTCGTTGCACATATCCAAACCATTGTAACCGATTTTCTCTCATCTTTCCTTCAATTTTGGCTACTACTACTTTACCTCGGATATCCTCATTCCTAATCTTATCATTTCTCGTGTGCCCACACATCCAACAAAGCATCCTCATCTCTGCTACACCTATTTTATGTACGTGTTGATGGTTCACCGCCCAACATTCCGTGCCATACGGCATCGCTGGCGTTATTGTCGTCCTATAAAATTTTCCATTGAGCTTCAATGGTATTCAGTGGTATATGACGGTCACACAACACGCCAGATGCACTCTTCCACTTCATCCACCCAGCTTGTATTCTATGGTTTATTTGGTGCAGAAGAGTGTATTCTGGTTTATTTGGCATTTTAGTCTGCATTGGAATTTGAATTGCTCATCTCTAAGTTATTCTAAAAACAGTCCTATCGTATGTATGGAATATCCAGTTTATTTGATGTTTATTTTCTGATTTATTTGTTATTCCGCTTAAATTTCATGGCTGTATTTTTTTAATAGCTATGCAGTGGAATGGACGAGAATGTTCTGGGTTCCAGTGCTGAACTCTTTTTTGCTCCAATTGATGTTTCTTTTGCTGATGATGCACCTCTTCTACCATCTGGTTTTCGCATCATTCCTCTTGATTATGGGAAGGTTAGCCTCTAAACTAAATCCCATTCCCAAGATGTTATATGACAGCTTTTATACCGCACTATGTCTTTAAAGGAAATGTTCATTAGCGCTCTGAAAAATGTTTGTGGAAGCTTCCAGCCCAAATCATACCATGGATTCTGCTGGTTCTTTTATGATTGTATTTTGTTGCATTTTGTTCTTCTTTCAGAATTGCTATTTCATTATCTTTTTGCTCTTTTTTTTTTCTTTTTAATTTTTTATAGGTGCTAAAGTCCAGATTTTACTCTTTTTATAGGGTATGTTCTGTTGGATGCTCAGAGAGATAGGAAACTGCAATTTACTTTTGGATATGCTCTATAACAAGCTGCCACTTACATTTGGATTTGATTCTTCACTGATGTGGATGTTGTGATGGGGTTTTGTAATTTTCAATATTCTTCAATTCTTTTTAGTCTGCAAAAATCAAATTGCCCATGGAATTAAATTGATATTGCATTAATATGTATGCTAGAGGACTTTACAGTATGCCATCAAGTTTAGACTGACAACAATGAATGACCAACTTAGGATTAATGCCTCTATTTGTTTATTGAAATTTGATGCTCTCTCATATGGTCGAGAAATATATATAGTTGTCGTATATTTTATAAGAGAAATTAAGTACATTGACAACATCATTCATCCTCTATGTTTATTTTTAATAATCTGTTTTTCCCGTCATTTTTTTTTCTGCTATGTAATGTCATTTGGTTTTTTATTTTCCTACAGGTTTTCATTTTTAATTGCTTTTCTTAATCTATTTTCCCCCTCAATTTTTCTGCTATGTAATCTCATTTGGTTTTCGATTTTCCTACAGGTTTTCATCTAAAAAGAAAATACTTCGTCCGTATACATTCTACGTCGCTGCTCAGGTATAGAATTCTTTTTTTTCCTTGCTTAATCATTATTTTCTTTTTACTACATTTTGAATCTTCCCCCAATGATTTATTATTATTATTATTTTTTTTTTAAGAAGAGCAAGTTGGTTCTGCTTCAAACTTGCAACGAGTAAGTTCCTCTGATCTGTGATTTTTAGGGTTTCGAAAAAGGTTATCGGCTAGAAATAGTTTGAGATTTTGGGAGTTAATGTTTTGAGAAATAGCTCTGAATTTTTTGTTTTATTTTTGCTGATTTTTGAAGTGGTTGTGGAAACCGGTTCTTTTGAACCAGTTTAATCGGTTTTAGTGATTGCGTGTGGAGAGGGTTTTTTAATTTGTTTAGCCTATCTCAAAGTTCAAGATTATATTTTCCTTTATTTTCTAACTAACTAAACAGAAAATTAGCTCTCTTTCCCTTGTTTGGTTTAATTTTACCAATTGATACTTTATAAGTTTCTTAAGTTACTTCAACTATTAAGTTTGAAATAATTGAATACTTGAAAGTTGGGTTTCGTTCAATTGTTTGTGCTAATTGAGCTAATCTTTTGTTTTGTAGCAACAAGGAGAAATGAGTCGGCGGGAGGACTCTGAAAGATGATTGTTGTTGCTGCTGCTATAGATATGCCGGCGGATCCTTCGGAGGGAGAGTTAAGCTTCGATTGAGAAATAATCCTCTGCAATGCTATCAATAAAGTTCAAATTGGAGCTGTGCCCAAGGTGACCCTGATCCTTTGATCGTTTTCCAAATTCTCACATTTGTGGTTGTTATTGAATGGTATGCATATGGAAGAAATATGGGAACCATTGAAATGTTGAATACTTTGATTTTATGTATTTTTTCAAGGAATGGGAGAACCTTTGAATAAGTATGGTTCCTTAATTGAAGCAATTCATGTTATGACTGGATCACTATTTCACCTATCGCCAATGAAAATTATTGTCGACAGTAGGCATTGAAAACTGCCATTATGTCTAAGATGTTTTTATCTGTAAAAACATTCAGATATGGTGTATCTTAATAACTTTCTCATGACCGCCAAAGAAAATTACCGTATCAACTAGGCATTGAAAACTGCCATTATTTCTAAGATGTTTTTATCTGCAAAAACATTCACATATGGTGTATCTTAATAACTTTCTCATGCTATTTTATTTGATTCTATAATCAAAATTTTGTAGCTTTTAGATTTTGTGGATCTTAGTAAATTAGGTAGTACAAAGTACTCTTTTGCTTATTTCATTGAATGTGGGTGAATCATAGTTGCATAAGTAATGATGTAGTTCGCAATTGCTAAAAACATTTGGCTTATTACTCTGTCAGTTGTGCATCTAATCTTCTGTAGGTCGGCATTATTCATGCTATCAAAAAGCTCCATAGTGATCTTCTAGCTATGTATTAGCGGTTTCACTTATGCATCCGTCCAAGAAATCTGTTGTCAGATAATGCCTGCAGCTCGGGCTTTTCCTTTAGTAAAGCTTATGGATGCATTGCAAGACTACCAAGAGAGCACGTAAAGTTTTTACACCTCATGTGTTTAATAAATTCTTTTAACTTTCATTTGTTTGCAATGAAACTTTTACTATCGTTTTAGACTCCTAGAGAATCTCACTATACCCCCTTTTATGTGATTATGCAGTCTACAAAAAATCTTAATTGAATACATAATGTTTGATGGAGTGACTGTGAAGAGCAACATGCACACCTACTCGGGAAAAACTCGGGAAATTGCTAGACATTTCAAGTGGTGAGTTCTAATCTTTATGTACTTGCAGAATAGGAGGAACTTCAATCCCTTTTGTGTGTTTCGTATAATATATACACAACATAACCTTTGCATTTTTTGTCTCCTTTCCTACAATTCATGAATTAATACCTTTTCATCAAATTGGTATTCTGAGTAAATTCACAACCAGTAATGAAAGCAAAGTAATGAGCTTTTTTCTTTTCTTAACAATTTTTTGTTTTTTTGATCATGGAATGCTTTTCTCATGCTAAGATTGTAACCCAATCAATAAGCAAGTGAAACACAGAAGTTCTTCATCGCATGTTAGTTTTGATCCATTTCTAATGATCTCATGCATGGTACAAGAAAAACATCTCTTTAGCAGCAAAAGAAGAAAGAAGAGTGAACTACTGAGCAACAATGTGAAAAGTTGGGACATAGAAAACAAGATGTTTTTCATGTATTATAACCGTATGGATGTAAATAAGATAATTTTTATGTATGATTTGTTCTTTATAGAACATAGGGATGTAAATAGATTTTGATATGGATGTAAATCAATTTCAAAAGTCCCACACATTTAACAAAGTTTTAAAACCCGCAGCATCACGCGAGTTCTTTTGCTCATATTACTTCAAAGCATAAAAATACTTTTGTCTTTCAAGTATTTTATACCCCTAAATAAGAGCCTAAAGAAAAATTTTAGGACATTACTACAAAATATCAAATGTTCAAGAATATGCAAAATGAAGAGAGTTCAAGGTTGTGGAGCCTTTCTCCAAAGTCAGAACCTTGCCAATGAGACTCAAGGCTTGCACTTTTGTGGAGATGTCAACTCCACCTTTACAATCGCATAACCATAGATTTAAATTTAATCATTGATTGTTGTTTACGTTTACGCTCTTTTCTTCTCACCCAATTAATTTTTTTCTTTTCTTTATTTTCCTTCAGATTGTTCTCTTTCGAAAACATGATCTTTTAGCAGATGCAGGAAGATAAACGGTTTGAATTGTTGGTATCACGTTCAGATTTTTAGGGTTAGTGAAAATATTGCTCGAAGTTATAAAGTCTTTAGAAACTATATAACACGACTCATATTTCAATTAACTGTAAACATTAGAATGTGATATCAACCATCCGAACTGTTCATTTTTTTGGACCTGCTAAAAGATCATGTTTTCAAAAAACAAAATTTTAAAAACGAAATCCAATGAGAAGAATAGAGCGTAAATGACAATCAACGGTTAAATATGAAGTTAGGGTTTATGGGTTTTGGTGTTGGATTTCGAAATTGAGCCCTTCAAGAATTGTAAAACTTGTCATTACGAGCAATTGTATATATCTTTTTACTTTTTTACATTTTTCAGCTTGTACATTAGTTATTATTAATTTTGCACTCAAACAAAAAAAATGAGTGGTTGCATATTTTTTAACATTTGTGGTCATGAGCATTTGCATATTTTTTATGAATTTTTATTAATTTTGCAATCACGAGCATTTGAATATTTTTAACATTTTTCACACTTGTAAATGATTTATTTAATGTGTTTTGGTATTTTTCAATTGCTTTGTATTTTTAATATGCTTTGGGAATTTTAGGACTAGATTTGTTAGTGGAGTACACTACGAGGGTTTAGATCCTAATATTTTTACCACAGGAGTTATCTTCCGATTACCTTACTACCACGTACTATGGTTATTTTTTTGTTAAATATAAGGATAAAAACTAATTTTTTTCTTAACGGGTTGAAACGAGCTACTCGCGTATAAACTAGTGATTTGATAAGGACTTGATTAGTTATCATATTGATTCGAAATCTTTTATTTTCGTATTGTATTAATAGTCATGTAAGAAATTATCAAATCTACCTCCAACATGTTGTAGAAATGGATGTCCACTCAAATAATGGGCAAGTTGCCCTTCCACTATTTAGCATGTGATTTACTTGTATAAAAACAAGCCTTATGAAACACAACAAAGGGATAGATAGATGTGAAGGGTTCACGGGAAAGAAAGAGAGGAAGGAAGGAAGAGGAAGAGAGAGAAGGAAGAGGAAGAGAGAGAATAGAGGAAGATGAGAGGAGATAATAGAGAGAGTTATCTTTGTACTCCTATTATTCTAAATTATAATGAAAGCACCACTGCTGCCCCGAGGACGTACTCCAGTCACACTGACTGTAGAGGAACCTCGTAAATTTTGTGTCTTGTTTCATTTATTCCACTGCACCCACCGTCGATTTTACAACACGTTATCAGCACGAGAAGCTCTCATGTCAGTGGAAAGCACAACGCCACAAATCCTGTTCACCTCCTCCAGCTGGAATCTCATAGATAAGAAAAAAATTTCATTTCATCTTCAAATCTCAGTACAATTGATTTTCTTGAAGCAACTATATATATTGTTATATGACTGTATATCATCCTTTGCAGAAGCAAAAGAGTAAAAGACTCAAAATTTGTAAGAGAATTTGACAGCCATGTAAATAGCCTCGGAACTCCAACTTGCGGACCTCGGATTGAAAATACTTTCTTCTTGAAAGTTGTTCGTCTGCTCAGTATCTACAACATATCAAAATTTCAGAAAATGTTAACGGTGCGATCGTCGCAGATGTCTGAAATACCAAAACCCGTTTCCAATTTCCGCAGAAAACTGGGCAGCCACCTTATGAGTACCAAAACTCCATTTCGGTAGTTCAAATCGAAATTGTTTCTTCACGAAAGTTGTTTGGTATCCTCTTATCCATATCATACTAAATTTTGAACTAAATCTAACGGTTTGATCTTCTCATAAGTTGCAGACACTCTTGACTCCAAAACTTATGGGAATCGTTTTCGACTTTTTCGAAACTCACCGGAAGAGGAACACCAATTGGAACTTATTGTTACTATTATTTACTGAGTAACCAAAATGACTTCGAACTGTGAAATAATAATAAAAAATAAAAGGGATGAAACAAAAGAAGTGGCAGACCAAGAAAATGAAAAAGCAAAACATGAGGACTTAATCATTGCATTTTCTGTTTTGGCATATTTATGTGCATGGTGTTGGTTTAAAGCCCATGTCACAAGTTCTATTTATTTAAAGCAATTTATTTATAGTGGGTAGAATTATTACCCTTTGCTTTAAAGCTTTGATATTTATGTGAATGGTGCTGAATCAAAGCCCTTGTCACATGCTTTATTTACTTTAAAGCAATTTATTTACCATGGACGGTTTTACCGCCTATTGCTTTAAGTTTTGATGGTGCTGAATTAAAGCCCTTGTCACAAGCTTTATTTACTTAAATGCAATTTATTCATTATGGCTGGAATTACCGTCTATTGCTTTAATTTATTTATTGTACTTATCTTTTGTTACTATGAGTATATACAGGACCTGAAGTTCCTTGATCAGATCAGAACCTGCAGTTTCTTGATCCTCATCATATAAAATGATTGGACCCGAAGTTCCATCATACAAAAGGATCTGGCATGAAGTCCCTTGATCCTGAAGATCAGGACATGAAGTTCCTAGATGAGTACCGTAAGTTTGAAGTGCCGCAGTGCCTTAACTTAATTGTAATAAAAGCCATAAGAGTCTCAGTTTACAGACTATTAAATAAGGACCAGAAGTTCCTTATGTCCATACTCAAAATGGTTTAGCAGAAGCCTTTATTAATCGAATGAAATTGATTTCCCACGCTCTGCTCATGAAAACGAAATTGCCAATTTTCTACATGGGGACATGTAAACTTTACATGATGCATTATTAATTCGGTTGAGACATGTTACCGACCATCAATACTTCTCAGTACAACTCGGGTTTGGAACCAACCAAACATTATACATTTACAAGTTTTTGGTTGTGTTGTCTATGTGCCTGTAAGACTGCCACAACGTACTGAAATGAGGCATCATTGCAGATTAGGCATTGAAGTTGAACACCATCTATCATTCAATATTTGGAATTCTTGATTGGGGATATGTTTACCTCATGGTTTGCGGACTGTCATTTTGATAAGACAATTTTCCTGCCATTAGGGGGAGAAAATAATATCGTTCCAGAAGAACGATGAGAAAATATCATTCCAAAAGAATGATGAGAAAAGACCGTTCCAGAAGAACGAAGAGAATTTGTCTTATTTTGATTCACGAAGCAATCAATGAGAAAATGAAATATGGAAAATTGAATGATACAACGAAAGTGATGAAATCATATATACTTACTGCAAATGTGCCTACAAGAATTGATGTCTCTGTTGGATAAAATAATGAGACAGTAAATGATTTATCTGTTGCACGCCTGAAGCGTGGCAGATTTTTAGACTCAAAAGGTTCAGTTATTCGAAAGAAGAATAATATGGCACTACTGAACTATTGCATTCCCGAAGCATAACTGTTGCATGCCAGAAGCATGACAGTCGCCGCATGGATACACATCCCAGATAGGACAATCCACAGACATGGGAATATTGATGTCTCATGCATGTAGCATGATAGATGTATAGGTTCCAAAGACTCAACTCCCGGAAGTGGAGAAAATCCAAGCTCTATAACGCTCAAGAGGAGGTTATGATCCACATTCTCTCAATTATGACTATCCTGGAAGAGATAGCGTCATGCCCTTGAAAAGGCAATGGATATCCAAAGAAATGAAAAGCTTTTATGCATGCGCATGCACATGAGAATATGGGATCACGGATTGATGATAACCAATGGTAATTTTGGTTTTTACAAGTAGCTACTAAATTCATCAATGAACTGTGTTAATATTGAGTCACGTTCTTTTGTTCGTCGACAAAAGAAAAATTATTGGCCAAAATGGAGAAAGGCAATTCCATTACAATTTTGTAAGAACGTGGGCAAATGAACCTATATATATTTGAATACAATACAAAATAGCCAAAAGATGTTGAACCAAGGAGGTTATATATGGGCATTTGTAATACAGTGTAATACACTTACATGATATGACACAAGGTTGTAAACGAGTTCATATAAATGGAGAATTATATACGAAGGGTTGTGAGTCGCCCACATCATATCTCCATAAGTAAATCCCTCAAGTATACATGGGAGCGAATTGCTCTGTATAAATTCCAAAGGAAAATGTATCATGAAGTGTAGAAAACCCTTGAAGGATTCAAATTGCTTGAAGTAAGCCTCTGAAGGGTAAAACATAAAATATGTACTCAATACCAATAGATTATATAAATTGCCTTAGTGAGTACTATCATTATGATATTGTTGCAACATACTAAAATCTCTTGCAAGAGTCAATGACATTAAATTATAACTCTTGAAGAGTTGATGATATTAAATTGGGACTCCTGAAGAGTCTAGAAAAATTATAAAGTGTTGAAGGAATTATTGTCTCGAGCTGCAGATCGAACAATCTACCAACACGAATCTTATCCATGATATTTATGATATTAAAAGAACCATATGGATTGAAGATTATGAGTTGAATACTCATATGATGAAGACACTAAGAATAATCATTTATCTTCGTGAGGGTAAAGATAAATTAATATTTGGTCCAGAAGTACCACATCTTAGTGAAGTATATGCTTTATTGTATTTGGCACAATACATTGAATGAAATAAAGCTTATTTATTAATATCTCCAAGAAATTACAGATATATA